GTTGATTGTGGATCCAAGTAAAATGAAATCCTTGACAACTCAATATTTTCTCTGTTTATCATGTAGCCATTAGCTACATGTGGCTATTTAAACTTAAAATTAAATAAAATAAAAATTTAGTTGATCACTTGCACTAGCCACATTTCAAGTGCTTAAGAGCTGTGTGTGGTTAGTGGCTGCAGTACTGGACAGCCCAGACATGGAATATCTACATCATCCCAAAAAGTTCTATTGGACAGCGCTGACGGTCCCATTCACCCTCTCCTCCCATAAAAGCTATGCTTCTTACGTATTTCAAGGGTCTGCCAGCTGCTATAGTAAACATAAACATCTTCACCTGGCATGAAAAGAGCTTGGATTTCCTAGGAAATTGTTTTTAAGGAGAAGAAAGATTTTTTGGGACTGAAACCTCAGCATTAGACTTGGGACTCAAAATAAATCCAATTTCCCAGTTTTCCTCTCAAAGTGGTAAGTTTTGTTCACAGACAAGAGCAAAAAAAAAAAGAACCAACAAAAACTCAAAACTCAAAACAAAAACTCAACACACAAATCTGAGAGCAAAAGACAAAAAAAGGAAATTGCGCATTCTGGCAGCAGGATGTCTAAGCTGGATGTTCTTCAAAGTTTTCGCTCCAGCATTGGAAAAGTTCTAAATATATGCACGTGTATTTTCTGCCCTAAAATAGTCTCACACTGAGTCACTCCGCCAAATAAGCCATGCAGCACCGTATCAGGGGGTGGCTGGGTTGTTAGTGTGGGAGAGATGGTTGTGGGGGTAAAAAATAATGGCATGTGTATTTGTATGAGGTTTTTGGTTTTTCCAAACGCTTTCCTACTTGTGATTATCCTCTGATCTTCATGATAACCCCCAGAGGTGGGCAGAGGAGAGATTATTTCTCCCCATTTGGCAGGTGAGAAAGACTGAGGTCTGGAGAGGTCAAGCAACTTGCTTAAGGCTGCTTAGTGAGTTAGTGGCACAGCCTGCATTAGGACTCAAGTCTCCTTGAGACCACATGGCGCCACAGCAGCCCTGGGAAAATGGATGTGGCCTTGGATGCTTGGGCACTGAGCACACACACACATACTAGCACACACACACATGCACACACATGCAAACACACACTCACTCTACCTGTGCTGGCTGTCACGGACTGCAGCCAGACCTTGGACTTCTCTGTCACCACTGGGGGAGGAAGGCCCTTTACGGGGAAAGAAGCGCAAGGGTTCCGGGTACCTAGAGGGGATAATGGATGGTGCCCTATCTCTCTCTCTCTCTGAAGGAGATGTAAGGGGGAACCTGCTAGGAGACCACCCAGGGTGGGATGGGAAGGAAGGGGCAGCAAGTGAGGACTAAGATGCTGAAGTTGGATGCAGAACCAAGGCCGACCACAAGGGGCGCAGCTACTGTCCACCCTGGATATCAGATGTATGTGAATGCGGCAACTTGTGCTCGGCAAGAAGAACACCAAAAGGGACTTTCTGTATAACACAGCCTGTAAACACAGCCAGTTACATCATGTGATGCTCAATTTTAGACGCAGTGGTCTGCTCCATGCTGGAGGCAATGCTGTGACGGACTCGTTGAAACGTGGCTGAGTGTGTACTAGCCATATATTCTATACTTTATGGAGAATTTAAGGGCTTTTCAAGGGTAATTTTGACTGCAGGTGCTCTTCCACCTTACAAAATACCTTTAGAACCCAACCCCCACCTTAGATGCAATTCCATGGTGAACATCTTTTGACTATAGGTACTTTTCACCTTAAAAACCACAAAACCAAACCCGTTGCCGTCAAGTTGATTGCGACTCACAGTGACCCTGTAGGACAGAGTAGAACTGCCCCGTAGGGTTTCCGAGGAGTGGCTGGTGGATTAGAACTGCTGACCTTTTGGTAAGCAGCCAAGCTCTTAACCACTGCACCACCAGGGCTCTGTCTTTTCACCTTAGGAGGCATCTAATCTTTTGAACTCAACCTCCATATTAGCTGTAACTCCACCATGAGCATCAGATACAAAGCCTGTAGGGAAAAATTTCACTTCATTGATTTTGAACATAGGTCTCCAAAGGGAGGGGGGGTCATAAGAACTGATATTTACACAGTGCTGTTAAATTTTCACCGGGCTCTTAACATCTATTTTTTAATTTGATTCTTACAAATTAGAAAGTTAAGGCAGGTATTATGATCCCTATTTGAGAGAAAAAGAAACTGAGGCACAGGGCTGTGAGGTGACTTAGGCAAGACCTCCTAGACAGGGATCAAAATATCAAAACACAGACACCCGTCTGCCACCTCAAAATTGTTCTCAGATGGACTTTAGGTTGCAACCACCATCCAGAACTCAAATGCGAACCCCTGCTGCCATAAGACACTTTTCAGCTACCCTCAGGAGGTGACATGTGACAATGGAGGGGTCATTCACTTACTTTCTTTCTTCCTGTATAGAGTTGGGATGCCTCATTTCCATCAAAGCACAGCCGAATTTCTGGAAAGAGATGGGCAAAATGTGAACTATGTATTATTCAATCCAGAGCAGGGTTGAGTACTGAGGGTCTGGAGTCCTGGCTGGCAAAAGAGGGCCTGATGCATGGGAGCCAGGATGTCATGGATGGGCAAGGATGCAGGCTGGGCAGCCATGCTTGAGCTGCAGAAGCCATGGAAGGGCCAGCTGTTCAAAGGACTATACGTGTGACCTCCCATCTCCAGCACACAGCTCCTCTTTGTGGCCTTCTCTCTCTAAAAATATTCTCTCCACTTCTTTCATCTAGGGTAAGGGACTCCAGGCTCTTTACTGGAGCATCCATTCCAAACACTTAGCTCACTGAAGTGACAAAACTGTTACTATGGTCCGGCTAATCAGTGGGCACTAGTAGATCGATAACTTGGAATTGTACAGTCTTTGCATAACTTGGATGCAAATCAAAGACACTGAGTAATAGGTGTAGGGAGAGGGACCCAACTGCTGCCCCTCCTTTCTTCCCACTGATAGGACCACGTGCTGGCTTATCTCACCTCCCCATTCTCAGGGGGGTCTCCATTGCCAAAGGTGCTGGTAACCACCAGGACCAGAGTTTCATGTTCCAGGTGCACGATGTCATATTCTTCCATGGACATCACCTAGGTGGAAGATGGGGGAAAGAAGTGGGGAGGGAGCGGAAGAAAGAAGGTGACTGCCAGCTACAAGTGACTTTAACCAGTTTAGACCAGCCCCAGGGGCTTCCACCTATAAATCTTACTTAACAGGTATTTTCCAAACCCACATTCTCCTGAGACTTCATCATAGTGAAGTCAAGAACCCTTGCACCTATTGCAAACGAAAGGAAAGATACGTGGCCCAATTACAATTTTGTCCCCACTTCGAAAGGACCCATCTTTGTGTAAATAACACTTTCCCAGAACCCGTTCCTCTTTTCCCCAATTAACTTTCCCAAAGCTTTTTATAAAAGGAGACCACCATCTTTCTCAAACTGAAGTCTTTGGTATCTCCTCTTGAGTGCCAGGCTTCCTTGCTGCAGCAATTTGGTTTACTCCCAAATAAAATCTTCATTAAAATTTTTATAACTTGACTACAGAATCCATCATTTCACATGATGAGAGAGAAGAAGTGGCAGGGGACAAAGAGTGATGGAGGAAGGAGAAGCAGAGAAAGAGGGAAAAGATGTCATGTCCTTGGGAAGGAGGACCAAAAGCTCTGGGTTGTCATTATTTCAACCAGCCCAAGATGGTAGAGCTAAAAGCTTTCTGGTAGGGTAGGACCTTATTATGGTCACCGTGATCTAAATAACTGTGGAGATTCTGGGGCAATGGTCAGGGATTGGAAGATCTTGAGGGAGATCCTTAGACCCTTGGACTACTTATAACCAACACAGATCCTGGACTCTTCCTGAAGACACTTAGGCCAGGAACGACCCAGTTGAATCATAAATTAAGGACCAGGTCTGCGAGTATTCTCTCTAATCTCCCACCAATAGTGTGAAGGAACTGGGCCAAACAAGTCTGAGATGTCTGTCTTAGGGAAGGATTGTTGCCTTGTATCCTGACATCACTTGAACAACATTTCTCAAAGCAGGTTGTAAGGAACCTCAGTCTCCTAAGATGCTCCATGAAAATAAGCAATCCGTGGTCAAGTATGTTTGGGGAACATTTATAGTTTATCCCTCCTCTTTTGGTGATTATAATACACACTTTCAGATTAAAGGCTCTGAGAAGTACTATAGCAAAGAAACCTGTTGAACTACGTTTACTGGAGTTTCCCAAACTGACACCAGGATTATTTCTCATAAACCCTCTAACATTTTGCTTGGAGATGAGAATTTTATCTTGGGATTCTTCAACCTCTGGAGGGTCTATGGGAGAAGGGAATCACAATCCCCCGACATTTATGCAAATGTGTGTGTATATACATATATGCTAATGGGCATCTTGGGATGTGCTTTTATCCATTCTCAAAGGGTTCTTCTCTGTTGCCTTCCCTCTCTCCTCTTCCCATCTTTAATCACCACGAGGGGCCCAGCAGCTGGCATGCCCCCTACCCACCTTGGCATCAAAGGCATGTTTGAAGATCTCACACAAGGATTTGGCATAGGCCTGCGATTTGCCTGTCTCTGTGGCGTAAAGGATGGTCGCTTTGACCCTCTTGGCCATTGCCTGCCCCATCAGCTTGGCGGAGAACTTGACGGCTCTGGGGGAAGAGGATGCAGAGGAAAAATGGGAAATGGAGAAGGGAAAGAAGATGCTGGGTCAGGACTTTTAGACAGGAAACACGATCTGTGAAATGTAACAGGTGAGAACTTACTCTCCATCTCTGATGATTTCAGGGGTCCCCTTAGAGACAATAGAAGCCCCTGAGTTTAGGCACCATATTGACTCCTCTACTTGACCCTCCAAGTCCAACAAGTCACAAGCTAAAAGAGTTGGTTAGTTACTGGATTGATAGACCTCATTCTTGGGAACCTTGATTTGCCAAGCATTGCCCCAAAGGATCATCATTCATTTGTTCGTTCACCAAATACGTGTTGAGTGCCTAACTACGTGCCCAACCTTGTTATAGGAGCTGAAGAACGCAGAGAACATCTTATGGACGTGTTATGGAGCTTACATTCTAGGGTGTGTGTGTGCACGTGAGAGAGACAGGGGAATCAATCATTAATAATTTAGAGGTTTATGCATCCGAAAAGGAAGGCCATGTCTGATTAACTCATCATTGCTTATCATATAGGGTCTTGCCCAGAGCCTGACACCAAATCAACACTAAATACATATCTGTCAATGGAAGGAGCCCCGGTGACACAGTAGGTAAGTGTTTGGCTGTAAACCAAAAGGTGGGTGGTTTGAACCTACCAGCAGCTCTGTGGGAGAAAGACATGGCGGTCTGCTCCTGTGCAGATTACAGCCTTGGAAACCCTATGGGGGAAGTTCTACTCTGTCTTATAGGGTTGCTATGAGTCAGAATCGACTCGACAATAGGTTTGTTTTGCTTTTTTTTTGGTGGGGGGCGGGGCTTTGGTGGCAGCATCTTTAAAATTCCTTCCTTCCATCGACCCACAAAACAAAACAAAACCCATTGCTGTCGGGTCGATTCTGACTCACAGGGACCCTATAGGACAGAGTAGAACTGGCCCGCAGAGTTTCCAAGGAGCGCCTGGTGGATTCAAACTACCGACCTGTTTGGTTAGCAACCGTAGCACTTAACCACTATGCCACCAAAGCCCAGGGGAGGTGAAATGTCAAGTTTCAGCTTTTCCTGGCAAGCCAGCAAAGCCAGACCAGTTTTCCTTTCCCGCTCCTGGCGGAGGGGGTGGCAGTCAGGCCTGAGGCTCAGGAATACCTGGGCTCAAACCCTGAGCAAGCACCCCTCTTCTAACTAGGAATCTTAAGTGTAGACAAATCGCTAATTATCCTCCACCTGGGGATTATTGGTGGTAAATTCATCATTTTTTAGAATTACGGAAGCCACCCACACAGCAGGCACGCTCAGAGCTAAGGGAGAGAAACAGAAAGTAATAAAAGGTGCCTGGAGGGTTCCCTTTGAATGATCTGAGCATAAAAAACGCATCTATAATTAACTCCCATTGTTTCTGCCCCCATCTTAATAGTGCAATTAACGTTTTAGATTCCTCCCTTCCCTCTCCCTCCTGAGACAGCTGAACTGAACTGAAGCCAAAGGCTACCATCCCAGAGAAAATGTGTAAACCTGTCGTTAGGGAAAGAATAGCTGCTGATGAGTTCTCCCTTGGCTGAAGGAGACAGGGAAGGAGAAAGAGAATAAGAAAGAGAGACAGAGGAAAGGAGAAAGTGGGAGAGCCACGGACCATATTAATTTAGCCAGGACCTAGGTTTGAGTCCCTGCAAAGCCCACCAGTGTCTTGTCTCTGGGGTCCAGGGCATGATGGCATCTGTTACACAACTGGAAGTCATACACAGAGATTTCTGGACCCAAGAGAGCTGAGGAAGAGAGTGGGTAGCTCAATGCATACCTACCTCCACTGCCAGAAAGTTAGCTCCAAGCAGGGGTCTCTGCTGAGTGCATCCTTTGGGCAGAAGGCTGACATCCCTATTAAACCTTCTCAGTTGGTCCCACTCTACTTGTCCACTGGCCCCCTGCCTGGCCAAGAGTTCTTCAGAAAACTCACTTCTCAGTAGCCTTGGCCTATACTGTTGCCTTGGTCTAAAACCCCCTTCCTGCCCCTCTTTGCTCAGTTGAGTCTCATTCACCTCATTGTTCAGCTCAATTGTCACCTCTTCAAGGAAGCCCTCCCTGACCTCCCAACCTTGGTTAAGTCTCTGTTTCACAGCACCATGAACCTTTCCTCGATGGCACTTGTCACAACTGCAGTGCTGCCTATATTTGTGTGATTCTTTTACAAGTGGATGCCTGTGAGCTTCATGAGGGCAGTCACCACGTTTCTTTGGTTCACTGTGGCATTCCTAGAGCCTAGCATAGTGCCTGCCACAAAGTAGGCACTCAATACTTACTGATTGACTGAACGAATTAATAAATCAATGAGTGAATCAGGTATGAGTCCAGACCTGAACCATAGTGCCGTCTAGGTAGTAGTGTGCTGGAGCTGGCTCATCCCAGCTCTTCCCAGCTCCGGGTTTGGTAACTTCCTATTGGTAGCTTGAAATCGACCATGGTGGGAATATTTACACTAGAGAAATTGGCAAATGTTGCAAATCAAGGTATTATTGTTATTTGGAGAACCACATCACTACTACCTCCAGGGCAAGAATTTAGAAAGCTGGGGCAAGGAAAGTGAGATTGGGAAGGAGGAAGGGTGTGGAAACATTAGCATCCTAGTCTCTGAGGCAAAGAAGGCACAAGGGAGTTGGAGAAAATGGAGCAATCATATCATACAGGGGGTCAGGAAGGACTCACATCAGCCCAGACTCCTCTTCTGGGGCTGTGTGAGTCTGTGGCTACACTCACCCACCAATCCCGCTACCCTCCCTGCAGGAAACTCACTCTGCCAGCTTCTTGAAGCCAATGGCTCGCCGCTTTGTGGGGGTCCCATTGGTGCCTTTCCAGACATGGGTGTTCCAAGGATCAGGCTAGGGAGAGAGAATGACAATCACTGCAGTGAAGGGATTTGGCTCCTCCTGGGAGATGCTGAGCCCTGATGGCGCAGTGGTTAAGAGCTCGGCAGCTAACCAAAAGGTTGGCAGTTCGAATTCAGCCGCTGCTCCTTGGAAACCCTATGGGGCAGTCCTACTCTGTCCTACGGTGTTGCTAGGAGTCAGAGTGGACTTGACGGTAACTGGTTTGGGTTTTTTTTTAGGGGAGATGCTCAGAGTCCGTTGGTGGTGCAAACGGTTAACCACTTGGCTACTAACTGAGAGGTTGGCAGTTTGAATCTATCCACAGGGACCTCGGAAGAAAGGCTTGGTATTCTACTTCTGAAAAATCATAGCCATTGAAAACTCTATGTTGCACGGTTCTGCTCTGAAACACATGAGGTCGCCATGAGTCAGAATCGACTAGATGGCAACTCGTTTTTTTTTTTTCTTTCGGGTAGGGGAGACGCTGAGGACTCCCTAGAGGCTTTTTGACTGCCCAGCTGTGTGTTGGGCAAATCTGCTGCAAAAGACCTCTTTAAAGTGTTAAAAAGCAAAGATGTCACTTGGAGGACTAAGGTGCACCTGACCCAAGTCATGGTATTTTCAATTGCCTCATATGCATGTGAAAGCTGGACAATGAGTAAGGAACACCGAAGAAGAATTGATGCCTTTGAATTGTGGTGTTGGTAAAGAATATACCATGGACTGCCAGAAGAACGACCAAGTCTTTCTGGGAAGAAGTACAGCCAGAATGCTCCTTAGAAGTGAGAATGGCGAGACTTTGTATCATGTACTTTGGACATGTTATCAGGAGGGACCAGTCCCTGGAGAAAGACATCATGCTTGGTAAAGTAGAGGGTCAGTGAAAGAGAGGAAGACCCTCAATGAGATGGATTGACACAGTGGCTGCAACAATGGGCTGAAACATAGCAGTAATTGTGAGGATGGCGCAGGACATGGCAGTGTTTCGTTCCGTTGTACATAGGGTCGCTATGAGTCGGAACCAACTTTACAGCACCTAACAACAACAGCTATGCACACCCCTCAGCCCTTGAAGGGGGTGACTTTGCCACTGGTGACCACAGAGTGGGTGGTCTACCTCTCTGCATTATCCTACCAGACCCCCACTCAGCCCTCTGCCCCGCTCCAACTCCCTTTTCGTGACTCCTCATTATTCATTTGCCTCTGTCAGGCCTCCAGCATGACCTGTGCTGTCCAATACAGTAGCCACTTGCCACAGGTGGCTACTGAGCACTTGGAATGTGGCGAGTCTGAATTGAGATGTGCTCCAAGTATAAAATACACACTGGTATCAAAGACTCAGTATGAAAAGAAGAATGTAAAATATCTCATTAATAAATTTTATATTGATTACACATTGAAAAGATAATATTTAGGATAAATATTATTAGAATTAATTTCAGCTTTCTTTTTACTTTTTTAATGTAGCTACTACAAATTTTTAAATTGTTTATATGGCTTATATTACATTTTTTTTGGAGAACTCTGAGCTAGGATGTTAGTTTATTATAAACCAAACCAAACTTGTTGCCACTGAGTCAATTTAGAGTCATAGCAATCCTGCAGGACAGAGTAGAACTGCCCCATAGGGTTTCCAAGGAGCAGCTGCTGGATTCGAACTGCCAACTTTTTAGTTAGCAGCTGAACTCTTAACCACTATGCCACCAGTTTATTACAGGTACTAAGTAATCTCCTGGGTTTTATGAAGTTGTTGTTGTTAGCTGCTGTCAGGCCAGACCCCGAATCATGGCGACCCCATGCACAATGGAATGAAACGCTGCGTAACACTAAAACAGCCTAGGAAGAAAGGCCTGGTGATCTACTTCCAAAAATTAGCCAACAAAAACTCTATGGATTACAGTGGTCCAATCCATAATTGATTATGGGTATGGCACAGGACCAAGCTGTGTTTTGATCAGTTGGGCATGGGGTCGCCATGAGTCAGGGGCTGATATGATACCAACTAACAACAACAATTTATAAGTATGGCAAACCACAACTGAGCACTTACTTTGGGTCAGGCACTTTTCTTAGTATTTTTACATGTATTCATTCATTCATTTCATGCTCACAACCCTGGACAGGAGGTATTAATATCACCCACATTTTACAGGCCAGGAAACTGAGGCAAAGAGGGGTTATGCAGCTTGCTTAAAGTTACATGCGTAGCAAGACGCAGAGCTGGGATTTAAACCCAGACACTCTGGTTCCAAAATCCATACTTTAAACCCACTGCCTTCCACTGCTTTTATACCTCAGCATGAAAAGAGTTTACACAGTCAGCCAACCCCCATCAAACGTGGAGCACCAAACTCCATCCCTCATCAGAGGACTCTCTCAGCTCAGGAAGCAGCGAGGAAGGACTGTACTGTATTGGGGCATTCTGAGGGCTCTGATGTCCTTCCTGGTACTTGCCGACTCTGGCTACTTCAGCCTCAAGCCTCTTCTAGGGAAGGGTGAGAGATACTAGAATTGGGGAGGCCATGAGGATGAGGGAATGGAACGATCAGCCCAGTCACAGAGGCAGGGAGGGGGCAGGACCTGGTACTCGAAACAGGGGGTGAGCCGGTAGTTGAGCATCTCCTGGTGGAAGACAGGGGTGATGCTGCCAGACATGGGGGGCACAATCCACACCCAGTCAGCTGGGCAGCCCCCCCGGCAGCGGTACTCATTCTCCATGTGCTTAATGAAGGACTCAGTGGCAGAGTGATGGTCGACGATGGTCACTTTGTCACTCTGTGGGAGGGAGAGGGGACAGACAAGGAGTTAGGAGGTATGAGAAGATGAGGTATTTTGGGATTCCCTCCCCCACAGGCGGCATTTCCGAAAGGGTGATCCCAAGATGATCTCAGGCAGTGCAAAGTGAGAAAGTGATTCTCTCTGAATTCTCTCTCAATCGGGATTATACGAAGGAGAAAGTCTCTGATTGGTGCAAATGTGTCTTTAATACCTCTCTTGCTATTCTTCCTCTCTCTTTTTTAAAAATTTAATTTAATGTTTTTATTGTAGTAAATATATAGGTAACAAAACATTCACCATATCTACCCTTATTATTATTTTAACAAGGAGAGAACCAGTCTTGGGCTCAGAACCTCTGGCAGTGTCTGGCTAGAATTTAACAGCTTTGCTTTGTTCTCCTTGTGCTTGTCTGTTTATTTAATTTTATAATTACTTTCTACTTATGGCCCCAGATACTGGCTGTCCACTTATGGTGGGGATACAACATCCTCTTAAAACAAAAATGTTTAAGTAGTAAGAGTGAGTTTATTAAAAATGGGACAAATACATCACGACAAAGTGGGTTGAATGAATGGCTGGTAACTCAGCTCTGGGGTCTGAAGTGGTCTGTGGGGGATAAGATTCACATCTTATGCGAGCAGTGCTTTCCCCCTCTGCCTGCAAAACTTTGCCCCCTTCCTTTACTTTTTTTAAAAAAAATCACCTCTCTGCTCCTTTTGTTTTTAAAAGTGTTCTGGTTTCAATGATAAATTGTATAGCTCTCCTACTACGATTCCAGTTAGCACAGAGCCATATACATTTAGAGGCAATATGTCACTGATGGGGTCCTTATTAATAATTATGCCAGGACAAGAGGCAAAGACTGAGATTCTCCCGGGCAATCCCAGAGACCTGTGTAATAGACGTTACTCTCTGTCACAGAGGCGCATCCCTGGGTGGTGCACATGGTTAATGTGCTTGGCTGCAGACCGAAAGTTTGGTGGTTCAAGTCTACCCAGAGGCACCTTGGAAGAAAGTCCTGGTGATCTACTACTGAAAAATCAGCCACTGAAAACCCTATGGAGCATAGCTGGACTCTGATACCTATGGGTGACCTTGAGTTTGAGTTGACTCAGTCGCAACTGGCTTTTTATGTTTCTGATAATGATGACAATTGTCACTGTGATATGATAGTCTGAGTCCCTAAGTTATGGCTAGAGAGAGGATGCTTGCCAGGTCAACTCTAAACAATTGTAAGCAACAAGTCATGAACCCTCTCCCCTATCTATCCATCTCTTCATCGTACGACCCCACCCAAGATCCACATTGAGAGGAAGGCATGCACCAAGGAAGTAGCCCGTGCTGGTGGGCAGAATCCCCCTGAAGGTGTTCCTGGGAGCTGGGTCTCTTCACCCTCTACAGCTGAGGCTCTGAAAGGTCTTAGTTTCCATTGGAAGATGCATGCCCGGGGCTACCTGGAAGCTGTAGAGAACAGCAATGTTGATTTCCACCAGAGCTTGGTCCTTCCATAGGGAGGACGTCTTCCTCATGTCCAAGTTCATCTTCTTGGCCACTTCCTAGAAGGGGAAGGAAACACAGACTCACAGACTGGGGCATCTCTGGGCTAAAGAGGGACAGGCCTAGTGTCATTACAAATCTGCTAATTAATGAATCAACTCATTCACAGACTGATGTACTCACTCTGAAGACTTAAGTGATAACCTACCAGCACCAGGTGGAGTCCCTGGTGATGCAAACGGTTGAGGAGCTGGGATGCTAACAGAAAGGTGGAGGTTTGAGTCCACCAAGAGGTACCTTGGAAGAAAGGCCGGTGATCCACTTCTGAAAAATCCGTCATTGAAAACCCTATGGAACAGTTTTACTCTGACACACAAGGGGTCACCATGAGTTGAAACCGACTGAATGGCAATTGTCTGTTGTTTTTACTAGCAATAGGAAACTAGAGAGACTTGGCTGGCCCTTTAATTAGCGAGCTTACGCTTTAGTGGGGGAGAGGGATAGTTAATATTGTAAGTGCTAATTCCTACGAAGAAAATAAGACCGAGAGATGGGATGAAGAGGGAGATGGGGGCAGGGCGAATTCAGCCAGGGGAGTCAGGGAAGGCCCACTGAGGATATGGCATATAAGTCAAGACCTAAATGATGAGAGGAGCCCTAGTGGCACAATGGTTAAAACGCTCGGCTGCTAACTGAAAGGTCAACGATTTGAACTCACTAGCCGCTCCGAGGGAGAGAACACCTTTACGGCAATCTGCTCCCGTAAAGATTACCACCTCTGTCCTAAAAGGTCGTTATGAGTCAGAATCGACTTGATGGCACACGACAACAAACGAGAAGAAAGAAGACATTCACAGACCTGGGGAGAACAGCAAGCGCAGAGACCCAGCAAGTGATGGGGCCGATCGTGGGCCTGCGTGTTTAGATGGTAGTGAGTGAGGGGGAGCTTGGTGGGAAAGGGGGGCAGGGCCAGATCATGCAGGGTCTAGGGGACTGTGCCAAGGGGTCAGGATTTTATTCCAAGTGGTATGGGGAATGTTTTGAGGGTTCTAAGCAGAGGCGTGAGTTGGGGAGTAACACGTCTGATTCCTATTTGGAAAAGCTCCCTGCCCCGTCACGTTCCACCCCTGAAATAGCCATGACTTGGAATCTAGATCACAGACGATTTGAGCTCATGGGGACACCCGCCTGACTCCATCTGACAGATGAGAAAACCGAGGCTCAGAGAGGCATGGAGACTTACCCAACATCCACAGAGCAAGTTCGCATCAGAGCCGGAGCCCAGGGAAATGCGTAATTCCCAGACCTGGGGAGCTGCCACCCAACCAGCGGACACCGTTAGCAAAATGCCTTGAAAAACACAACTCATGCATGACATGGATGTCCCAGCTCACGGTGCAGCAGAAGCTGATGTCAGGAGGGGAGAAGCCCCAGTAGCAAATTCATTAATTAAAGCCCTGCTTTTCATTTCCTCTGTCAATCCCAGTCACTCGCGGGGACCCAGGCCTCATTACGGGCTAGACTGTGACAATTTTTCAGGTTTGGGTAAATTGCTTCCCAGCCCTAGCTGTCAACATTTGCACTTAGTGGCAATTGGAACAGGAAGGCTGGTGCGGCAGAGGTTCATTTAAGTTAGCTGGTGACGACTCTTTGCAGCCTGAATGGGAGGGGAGATCATGAAATGTAAGCACAGATCAGGATTAATACAGACTTATAAAGTCACTCTTTGACGCTGGGATGTTAGGTTCGGCATGGGGTCTTTAGCTGTGACATATACACAGAACGTAAGAAGCTTGCTGCTTTACATAAATACATATAAAACGTGCATTATTTTATGAGACAGGAAAATGTGTATAGCCAGGCACGCTGCATTGTTACTTATACAGCATAATTTCGGCCAGAAGAATAGAAATTTGCAGAAAAAGCAAAAAACGATAAGACCTAAAAATTCTCCAAATGCAACTTGAACCACATCTGTGGAGTTGCCTGAAGCGTCTTTTCCTTTCCCGCCCTACATTTGATCAGTGGCTGCCCACAAGAATCGCCTGGGGAGCTTTGAAAAATTGAGGCCCAGGCCCTACCCCAAACCAATTAAATCAGAATCCCAGGGAGGGGGACCCGGCATCATATAAAGCTCCATAGGAAATTCTAATGTGCAGCAAGGCTGAGGAGCATTGGTTTCATAGCACAAAACTAATGCCTGGTTCTGAGTTTTAATCCTGACTCTGGGTCGTACTTACTGTGTGACATTGGCCCCAAATTAACGTCTCTGTTTTTTCATGCCCTCCTTCGAAACAAGGCCAACGGCAGCAGAGTGTTGTTAGGAACAACATTTGCTGACAAAAACATAGCAATCCTGATGCTTTCCCCAAAGTTGAGCTACAGGAATACTCCGCCCCAGCTCTCCTCAGCAGATGAGGATGAGTCAGAGGGAGGAGGAAGGGAGTCAGACCCTCCACTGAGAAACACTTATGGCAGAGAACCACTGCCAACCCTGCCCCCTCGTTTTTCAGAAAAGAGACTCAGAAAGCCCCAAGTTCGTGGGTCATTCTCAAATCCTTCTAACAAAGTTTAACACTGAGAGGCCATGCAGCCAAAGGGTTAAGGCCTATATATAAATCCAGAGTGCTTTACATAAATACAGGCTGGGTTTGCGTCCCAGCCCTGCCTCTCACTAGCTGTGTGACCTTGAGCACCTTACTTCAGTCCTCTGAAAGGCCCCAGTTTCTGCATCTGTAAAAAGGGGATTATCACAGTATCTACCTTGAGGTTGTGGTGAGGATTAACTGAGAATGCAGTACACGCAAAGTGCCTTGAACAGTGCCTGGCAGACGCAGAACTATTATATAAAAACCATTTGCTGTGGAGACCATTCTGACCATGCACAATGCGAGTGTTCACTATTGTTAATCACTGTTAATGAAATGGATTTCTCTGGGATTGCCAGGGGGCGTTGAAAGATCACAGCATGAAAACCCCTATGGAGCACAGGTCCCTGAAATGCATGGGGTCACCATGAGTTGGATGGCAACTGGTTTGAGCTTTTTTTGTTTTCCCCTATGGAGTCCCTGGGTGGTGCAACAAGTTAACGCACTCGGCTTCTAACTAAAAGGTTGGAGGCTCAAGTTGACCCAGAGGGACCTCAGAAGGAAGTCCTGGTGATCTACTTCCAAAAAATCAGCTGAAAACCCTATGGAGCACAGTTCTATTCTGATGCACATGGGGTCACCATGACTGGACAGTCAAAGTTGACCCTACAGCAACTGGTTTTTACCCCCTAGCATCGCAGGTTCTGTTCTAACCCTTTCCAGCCTCCAAGCTCCAGCGTTCAGCTGTAGGGAAGGACTTCCGGCCCCACCCCTACCCTCTGCCTTGTGCTGCCCCCTCATGGTGACCAGGGACCACACCTCCAGAATGTTGTAGCGTGAATTGTCACAGTAGTCGCGGACGCCGATCTCTGTGCCCATGTACCAGCCGCTGAAGGGGCAGGCACTGAACTCCAGGCCGCCGATCTCCAGGAGCATGTTGGACACGGCAGGGACACCATACCACTTCAGCCCCAGGTCCTTGAACCACTCAAACCTGCAGAGAGCAACACAGCCCACTGTGTCTGTATTTAAAATTCTGATATTTTGCTCATCATGGATTTTTTTTACATCAATTTTGATTTTTTAAAAATACTGCACTAAAATAGTACTTATCTCGATTACTGAATATTTTGGCACACTCTTAAATTTTGTGCCCACAGCCGGTACACCTCACTATTGATTTCTTTGGCTCTAAGAGTGTTAATGCTACTGGGGCTGTTGGGCGCGGCCATCACAGCTCTTTCCCAGCTCCAAATTCCTTCTGAATTGAGTCTGTACCAGGTCATGACGAGTTTTAAATGGTTCTGTTTCCAACTGGCACTCACAATGAGAGAGTAGGTGCTCCTGCTCTCCCAACCCTCAGGGCTGGAAAAGGGCAAGGAATTGTTGGTTGCTTAAGAGTGGGGTGATGTGGGAGGTTGTAAGCCAGAAAGATGGGGTCCCCAGGCTGGACAACGAGGACTTACTGTATTTTCTGGAAGCCCACCCTGCCCAGAACGAGGAACCAGGATTCCCTTCAGCCTCTGTCTGGGCTGGCAAGAGAGGTAGGGGCATGGGGATGGGCAGAGGGGTGCTGGGCAAGTCCACCCACCCTCACCACCCCATCTCAGCCCCTCTTACTTGGGGTGCCTGATGGGCACCTCCAGCACCAGCTCTGGAGGAATCTGGAAGAGCTCAGGGTCGTTGCCATTGGCCTGGAGCATGAGTGGCAGGACATCGAAGCGGCCTCTGGGGGGCTTCCAGCCCTGCTGTATGCAGATCTGCAACCAGACCCGCTGTGTCAGGTGGGTGCCAAGCCTCCAGACACAAGGACTGTATGGGGGATGGCAGAGATCCCAAAGCAAACCCAGTGGCAGTCCCTGCCTCTGGAGGCTGTGGGGCCACGTGGCCTCCTATATAAAGTGCTCCCTGACATCACCACATAAATAACATAACTCCTCATGGCCGCATGGGCAGAGTGCAAACCTCTCCTACAACACCACAGTTTACATGTTCTGGGTCTTTCTTGGCCACTGGGATTCCGGGAGCGCAAGGGCTGCATCTGACTAATTGTAGCATCTGTGGTGTCCTTGTGCAGAGGGCTTGGCCATTGCAGCGGCTTATTCTGTGAATGTTTGCATGGGGGGCCATAGAGGAAAGTCTACTGAATTTGATGAGGGGTATGTATTAGAAACAGTGTATAATATGCATTTGATTAGAGCAGCACTGTCTGAGAGAAATATAATATCAGTCACATATGTAATTTAAATATTTCTAGTGGCCACATTAAAAAAAGCAAACAGAAAATAATTTTAATAATATATTTAATTAACATATTTAATGTTAATTTATTAACGATAAGTT